ACCCCTTGCACCTGTGCTTTGATTTATGCACAGTTACCATGGTGACACAACATATAAAGGACTTGGCCCCTTGCACCAGGGCTTTGATTATGTACTGTTAACAAGGGAACACAACTAACACAAAAAGGGTGATGGCTTACCTGACCCCTAGCACCAACCCCGCTTCTCTCTTGGTCATCTTTGGGTCAAAGCCTCCTTTGTAGTACTTGCTGAAGGCCTGGGAAGACAAAAATTGTGAATTATTTTTTCAGTGAGTGAGTTTTGTTTTACGCCGCACTCAGCAATATTCCCGCTCTATGACGGCAGCCTGTAAATAATCGAGTCTGGACCAGACAATCCAGTGATGAACATCATGACCATCGATCTACGCAATTGGGATATGATGACATGTGTCAACCTAGACAGTAAGCCTGACCACCCAATCCTGTCGGTCACCTCTTACGACAAGCATGACTTACTGACGATCAATTCTAACCCGGATCTTCATGGGTCTTTAAATTTGACCATTGCCCAGAGCATTCTGTGTTGTGTCGCAACATCTGACCAGTTGTTGGTCGATTCATTGATCTTCTCCCAAATTACATGGGAAGTGGTGTAGCCTTGTGGTTAAAGCGTCAAGCTGCAGATCCAGGTTCGATTCAGCACATGGGCGTCCCTGCCGTGCTGATGCTGTGACGTCAACTTAAACTCACTCACTCACTCACTCCCAAAATTCCACACAGCATTAACTTACACCTGACTGAGGAAGAGCATCTAGTTGTTTCTTCAGTGTCTGCTGAGCGACGCGTCCGTAACGTACGAGATAACGACCTGTAAAAAACAGTGACACTTGTTAATTTCCACCACTGCGCAGTTGATGAAGTCATTATTGTTGCCTTATTTGTTTATAGAACTGACTTCAATATGTTTTGCATCCATGTATACAGTTGATTTCTATCACTTAAATGCACAGTCTTATAAGAAATGTGTCCAAAATGAATAGGCCTTGCATGGTCATGTACAAAAACAATCGCTGATGTGTCAATGTTGAGGAGACTGGAAATATTGTTAGGGACTGGAAAATAGCTTCGAGACTATCTTAACTGCAACACCTCAGGTTTTAACAGAATGCTGTTTAACTGTATGATTCAGTTAATGCAATAATTAATTATTGTAATTTTTCGTTTGTCTAAGATGTATTTGTTACTGTTCTCGGCAAACAGATCAAAAGAAACCTTGTATTAATTGCAATGGTGATGTATTTGCATATTTCACACAGTTGTACTTAATTGGCGGTGTGTGGTCTTGTGCATGGAGACCAGGGCCCCGTTCCTCAAAGCGATCGTATCGCTACGACTGTCGTAAGGCCATGTTAAAGCAGGGGAGATACGATCGCCTTAGGGATTACAATCTTAAGCCCATTCTTAACACATTGGCTACGATCAAAGTTAAGAATTCTTAGGGCTAAGAACGTTTCGAGAATAAGGGCCCTGGTCACAAATCAGGTGAAGTTAAACAACCATGGTCACAGAGAGTCCTTTGATGGGCGACTGTGTTCTGCAGCTTGACTCCTGAGTGTTTCTAGGACTTCTGTCCTGCACACATGTGGTCTCACCTTAGGCAAGTGTGTTTGTAAAAAATTGATTCTGTTCAACCAGCAGTGAATGGGTACCTGGTGGGATGGGTCATATGACTGTTAACATTCTAGTGCCTCTCAGGCAGCTTGGGTTAACCAGGGTTGAAATGTCTTAGCGCTTTGAGAACTGACAAGTGCATGGGTACAAGTGCTTTATTAATGTCCATTATTAGTACTATTTTATCTGGTGCTTGTAATCGACACACTGTGAATTGCCAACATGAAACTTCCTATCTCTAAGGTGGGCTCAATCAGCAGTGATCTAATGATATGGCACTACAACACTGTATCACACTATAAGGCTCATTATACAATACATCCATTTACAATTCCATATATCAATACATACAATACATCACAAGTTGAATTGATGTAAAAACATGTTAGTAGATGTTCAAGAAGTAGATTACGCAGATCTCTGATATTTTCTGGTTGGCTATTAATAGAAAAATCATCAACGCGCCCCAAAGTGTATAAATTCCTCCCCTACAATATCCCATTTTCACTGTGAACTAAAATCAAAGAATTCAAGGCTGTGACTTAACTGCATTTAATGTCATTATTTGCTTGATAACGGTGTTAGGATCTACACCGAAACATCGCAACTACTACTGCAACAAAGAAGTTGTCCATCCATAAAAAGTGTTCCACTTCATGCATAAAGGAAGATAATATGAACTTATGAAATAGACTGACTGACTGACTGAGTTTGGTTTTACGCCGCTTTTAGCAATATTCCAGCAACATCACGGCAGGGGACACCAGAAATGGGCTTCACACATTGTGCCCATGTGGGGATTCGAACCCGGGACTTCGGCCTGAAGAGCCAACGCTTTAACCATTAGGCTACCCCACCGCCCCTTATGAAATAGAAGCAGTGTATCAGGATATGAATCTTATGATGCAAACCTGCGTTCCACAGGAGATATTGCTTGTGTAAGATCAAACGGGATCTCCTAGGAGATATCATTTAGACAGATTTTGTACAATGCCTTGACAATTCTACGATGTCATGAACTTGATGACGTCACAATGCTATGAAATTGCAGCACTACAAGTCTAATGGCAGAAGCGTGTTCAGAGATGTACCTTTTTCATTGAAAACTAATCAAGAGTAATTATTTATGACAAATAGAATCTCACCTGAGTGTCTTCTGATATCAAATATATCAACACTCGTTGATAATAGTAAAATATCCTTGTCAAGCCTCAGATATTTGTAACTTTATCAACTAGTGGTGATATAATTGATATAAAAAAACACTTGGGTGAGATTCTTTATGTATCGTATTGCACCCATGTCACTGGGGTACATGTATCGAATTACACCAAGATCGGGATATGAATAGTGTCCCACCAATATCATTGGGGTATGTATCATGTTGCACCCACATTATCAGCATACATATGCTATTGTTCACCTCATGTATTTCTTCTGTACAGCATCATATCTTCACACAGTGACTTACCTCCGAAACCAACAGCTGCAAGGCCAAGCCCCGCCAGGACGAGTCCTGATGACTGAAAAACAAATAAAAAGGTTCCTTGAGCACCATGCAGGCAGATAGATACGGGATGCTTTATGCCTGTGCATGCTTACTGAAGTATGAAGCTTCAAAGAGTTAGGCCAAATGTAAACGTCTGAGTTTCTCTTCTCAAACTTGGAAAAAGTGTCAAAATGTGTCGTTCATACTCTTTGGAAAGTAAGTTCCACAGTCAAATAACAACCCTCTTGACAGGATTCACTAATGGTAAAGGGACACTTGACTGGAGAGGAGATCCAGGAGCTATTGATATATCTTTGGTTAAGCTACCCGAAACCTAAACATGTTAAACAGCTAACCATAACATGCTGAAGGGGTTGTTGGTGGCACAAGTACTTAGGGCTGGGACGATTCACCGATGCATCACAATACATTAAATCATCTTAAATTTTGATACAGTGTCATTCTTTCAAGGTGTATGTATCATGATACGTATCGTATCACAGGTAAAACATCGCGATATGTATTATTATTATTATATGATATTTATATAGCGCACATATCCAGGCAACTAGTGCTTGCTTGCTCATCACATAGTGTATCATCTAAGCCCTTCAATGTACCCAGGTATGTTTTACTATATAGAAATGTACCCTAAACCATTGTAAATCTAGTCAAACTACATAAAGGTATGTGGTACCCTAATCGTCGGACACTGCCATATAGCTGGAATATTGCTGAGTGTGGCGTTAAACAACAATCAATCAAATCAATCAAACTAATCAGGGACAAACCGAAACCTTATATAGTTACACCCATTCAACTGACTGTGGGTGGTATTGTGCATCTCGAATTATTCACTCTGTATGCTTGTTTCTTATATAAGTTATAACACAATCAAATGTATCTAATACAACTATACAGTTATGATCAAAAGAATTTAATACAATTATACAGTTACGATCAAGAGAATGGCACCCTGTAGATTGGGCTCGTCCTGGGGTAGACATCTGCAGTACTGCTGATGGGGGTTGTCAGCACTGGTACTTCAGATGCGTACCCCAGGTACGTTTCTGTACAAAGGTAGCGGTATTAAGCTGCAAACTGTAAACTGCATTGTTACAGTGTTACCATGGTTACAATCTCTCAGTCACATAACATTAACGCTACAAAAGTGAGTGAGTAGTATGGCTTTTAGCCGCTTTTAGCAATATATTCCAATAATATCACGGCGGGGAACACAGGGAATGGAAATCAGCCTCCACACATTGTACTCATGTGGGAATCGTACCCGGGTCGTCAGCGTGACGAAACAACGCTTGAACCAATACGCTACCCCAGAGCCTCTAACATTACAAGAACAGTGTACGGCATATTCTATTGCAAGCCTTTCAGTAGAATATGCCGATCGTTCCGTGTAAACAGAAGCAGCGTTCAACATACCCGGTACTCGAAGTAAACATTAAACTCCCGACCACACCGAGTTGATTGAGGGCATTAGCACTTACCATCGTATGTGGTCTGAAACTTCTGTTCTGTTGATATTTAGTAGTGTAGATCTTTTAAGATGCTCTCGAAATGTTTACATTCCAACTTTTGTTATCACACGCAATTTTAGCAAGGCCTTGCACATCCGGATATGGATAACAGGTGCGCGATGTTGGAATGGCGTTTTTCGTGTACTTATTTCAAAATTATTTTACATCTAAAACTTGGAGGCGTAAATCAAGACGCTATAAACATTGAACAATTTAAACTGATATTACTGTATCAAGCATTATACAACATTACTTACGTCATCCAACATTTTGCGACATGCCGACATCCGGTTTCCTCCAGTACGTTGCCAAATCCGCCATCGTGCTTAACTGTTTAAAGGTGAAACATTCACATTAAATGGGCACGACTCAACTCTCTTTCCAATCACCAACTGTATCGGAAACTAACGTAAACAAATACTATTTTAAGCATTTGCTCGTTCATCTTCAGTAAGCATCATTGAATTATTGCCATTTCAAGACATTGACAAGACATGGCTACATGGAAATCGGGGGGCAGTGGGGTAGCCTAGTGGTTAAAGCGTTTGCATGTCATGCCGAAGACCCGGGCTAAATTCCCAACATGGGTACAATGTGTGAATCCTATTGCTGGTGTCCACTGCTGTGATATTGCTGGAATATTGCTAAAAGCAGTGTAAAACCCAACTCACTTACCCACTATTATGATTTAAGCATTTAGAACTTGCAAAGGGTTATTACCCGAGGTTTCACACAGTAACAGTAGGTTGCACATCATTAAATCAAGCCTGTTATCATGGTTATATGTTTATTAGGAACGGGTGCTAATATATTTTCTAAAATGTAACCAAGTCAGCGACAATGTACATGTTGCAATGAGCGATATGAGTGAGACAGAGACAGTACCTGACCCTAATGAATGAGTGAGTGAGTTTAGTTTCACGCCGCTTTTAGCAATATTCCAGCAATATCACGGCGGGGGACACCAGAAAGTGGGCTCCACACATTGTAATCATGTGGGGAATTGAACCCGGGTGTTCGGCGTGACGAGCCGACGCTTTAGCCATTAGGCTACCCCACCACCCCCTAACCCTAATAAATGCCCGACCGCGTCATACCAAAAGACGTTAAAATATGGTACTTGTTGGTCCCTGCCTAGCGTTCGGCATTAATGAGTACAACAAGGACTGGTCGGCTCGGAGTCAGTATATTGTGTCTGAATGGGGGTTTCATGTTTCACTGCGGCATGGTATCTCAGTGGGCTAGCACTATAAAACCAGCTTAAGTCTGGGCTAGTACAAGCAGCCGCACATACACATACACACGCATGCACGTCGTCATATGAGCGAAATATTCTAAAGCACGACGTTAAACCCAATTTCACCTCACCTCACCTAACCCTAATGTATGGATGCATACAGGTGCAATATGCGCATCAATGACAACAGGGGAGGGGGTGAGGTGAGATAATTATGAGAGGCTTATCACCGTTGAAATATGGTGACTGGACCATATGTCCTAACGGTTCATTCCTTTGTCTTCTATCAGTTATTAGTTTTTGGAGAAGGTATCTACTGTACATACACTGACAGGGTTGTGCCCAATACGTTTCAGAGACTTAAGTAATCAGAGTTGATACAAAACAAGTGTTACAAATGTAATTCGTTCCATTCTTCATATTTAATACAAAGGTTTTGTAGCAATGTTTGCTCATTTAGCGGAGTTTGACTGATGGTGAGATACAGGGCCCCGACTGTATGGTGAGACGTCTTTAGTAGGGCTGTGCAATATGACCGGTTTACCGGTATTTACCGGTTCAGACATGAAAACGATACGCATTGCGATACGCTGATCGGAAACCGGTATTTTGACTTGCATTCGGAAAATTTCGTAACACTCGTAATATCTTCGGATATTTCCTTGTTTCATTTGTGCCAAATACTATTTACATATTTATTTTGTCATGATTAAGAGTTTTTATTAAAGCGTAATCAAGCATAGTGATTTTGTTGTGTTCATGCTTTATAAATCAAGCATTTACTTGATTATAAGTAGTTTTTTGTTTAACAATACCTCTTGCAATATATTGCAATACATATCGCAATAAATGCTTTCGCATCGCAATATATTGCAATATGAAAATTCTCTGCAATACCCACCCCTAGTCTTTAGAGACGATACTGTAAATGAGATGGATTTTTTGAATGAATAGGGTCCAATACAATTAATCACTGTACAGCAGTCATGAATAAGTGGTCCATTAATACAGTATAGTATTTTCTGACACCGATAAAACATGTCAAGCAAATGGGCCTTGGGCCATGTCATGAATAAGTGGTCCATTTAGTATTTTCTTACACCGATAAAACATGTCATGCAAATGGGTTTGGACCATATAATGATCTTATTCTTGTTTAACGTTGTATTTGATAATGCAATAATGGTTCTGGCTCGTTGAACAGACATCACACCGCCTCTTCTTCCTGTTTAATTGTTATTTGAATACATTTACGTGAAATTACCTGTTTTTCAAAATATCCTATTTAATAATAGACTTGATGCAAAACCTCGGATGTTTCATCCAGGCCTAACCCTGTGGAATTGAGATGCCAAACACGTTTGCTTTCACAGTAAATAATGATGCAAAGTTATGGTTGAAAACTCAAGGTGTTACGTTTGCACATAAAAAAAGAAACAGTGTTTTTCGATTATCTCAAAACTTTATAAACGTTAGATTTACGTTTTGACTGGACTAAGACGAAGTATCACTGCGCCGGAGTGCCAAAATGACGTCAACAATATTTTGTGACGTCATTACACGATTCGACAACAATGCTGTTAGTGAGTGAGTTATAGAGAATACTACACGAGGTCTCATTACATACGAATTATACGAAACGAGTGTCCTTCCTATGGGATCTGACAGAGCGAAAGCGAGTTTCGTATAATTCGTAAGTAATGAGACCGAGTGTGGTATTTTATTTATTACCCACTTCTTACATGCTTTAAACTGACAAAATAGCGTATTTTTTGTTATAATTTGGTTTCAAACCGAAACCGGTTTCATAAAGAGGTTGCGGAAGAGTTTTGTACTGTAGTACAATATTTGCATGACGTCACACTGTAATGACGTCACGATGCATGTCAGTTGTCATCGCCTCGTACAGACTCCTACATTAAACTGCTCCGTTTTACCACCCCGTTTCGTAGTTTTCAGTTGCTTCACTCGGCTACCATCACTGGTGAAAACTTTGCGTTTATGTTTTTCGACGGATATAATGTCTCAGTTCGACTCACAATTAAACAGCGACACGGCAACGTTCGCAATGTTTACATTCCCACTATGCATTTAAGTTGTAGAATGAATGAATTCACGTGTTTGTTAAGAATGAAAAAATAGTTACGTCAGAATGTGACCTAATTGAGAGGTCATCGGTTATCCAATCAAATCGTTATAATCTCAGGTCAAGTCGTTACTACACAGGGCCCCGTTTCACAAAGCTCTCGTAAGCCTAAGATCTCGTAATTTTTCTCGATCAGCAGACCCTTGAAGATCCGGGCTAGAATTGGTCTTCAGGAACCCGTGCTTGTCGCAAGTGGCGACTATAACGGGATCGGATGGTCAAGCTCGCTGACTTGGTCGACTCATGTCATCGTATCCCAGTTGCGCAGATCGATGCTCATGCTGTTGATCATTGGATTGTCTGGTCCAGTTTATTTACAGACCGCCGCCATATTGCTGAAATATTGCTGATTGCGGCGTTAAACAACAATCAATCAGTCATGGTGAGCAATATATGGACATAAATATGGACGCTTTGAATATGTTCATGCTGTCCATGGGATGAATGCCTGAAAATGACGCCAGACCAATGCTGACCACTTGGGGAAACCATGTAACCAATAATCATTGTATTCTTGCTCAACTTCAGCTGTGCAACTTTGCACAGTGAATGTAGACTCTAGTCTCTACGGTAATTATTAATAGTTTAAATGATAATTTCTAAAATATATATATATATGCCTCTAACAGACTGGAATCCGCTTATCTCGACTTGCTTGTTTAAAGGATAGAATCACTGTACATCCATGGGGTTTGCCTTCAGTACAGCCTTGGAGCAAGGCTACAGTGAATGCAGCTAGGCGACTTGGCCAGTCGTATTCCTAATATAGTGTGGTACTTTGGGATATTTGGGGTAAAGTTTGAGTTCTATGTGGGGTTGGGTTAATATAACCACACACCTGGCAGGTTGGTGTGGTTTGTTTGGCATGTGCAGCACATGCACTGCCTGCCTCTAGCCACATAAAGGGAGTAGCTTCATAGCACTCCTTGTCTTTAGTCCACTGGTTCACCAGAGGTGAGGACATTTATTTTAGTTGCTTGAGTCCTGGTAATCCAGACCAAGTATATAGTTTTGTTTTGGTTATATAGGAAATTAAGATATATATTTGTTTTGGACATAGGCTCTGAAATCAGAGCCATGTCTCATTAGGGTTTGGGGTTAGGCTAGATTGTTAGGTATAGATTAGGTTAGGTGGTTAGGTTAGGATAGGTTTAGTTTTTTGTAAATAAATTATTGAGTTTCTCTTTTCTATTTGTTATGTTTTTTACCAGCAATGAGGCCTGATTCATAGAGTCTACTTGAAGTTGGCTGCTTTACCATCACCACATTAAAAAGAGTACACAACGCAAGGTCATACACCCTTCTATAGCCAACTTCAACTATCACTGGGCAGAGAAACCTATTACAATAGCAACCGTGGTCTGATATGAATATACTAGTAATATGAAACCTGGTAAACATCGTCGAATCATTGGTTTTCGGAACTGCAGTATTTACAAAGAGGGTTTGGTCACGCACATTGGAAATACTCGAATGATGGCTTAATTGTGTTTTATATATTTAAAGTCGTTTTTAATACTTTAACAACATGTTGTAAAATTGTTCATTTGGTAATCAAGAAAACCAAACCAATATTCTAGAGCGTCCGAAAACCATAACAAAGTGATATATACAGAACCTTTGCGTAATTTAAAATTAATAAATAGGTCTACTAAACAGTTTAATTGAGTTATTGTCAATAATTTTTAATGGCCATTTTGTTCATAGTGCCGTTTTGGAAGTGAACCGTATTTATCTGTCTAATCCAAAATGGCAGCGCTCACGGGCGCATGGCCTGTGACGAGACTAACCGTTCGCCTTAGACGCGGATTACACACCGCACGGAAACTGCATCATCAACGATGTGTTCGGGTGAGATTTGCCCCAAGTCCCACCGGGATGCTGCATCTTGGCGGCCTCCGGACGGCACTTTACAACTATTTGTTCGCGAAATCAAACCCAGGAGGAAAGTTTCTGCTTCGAATCGAAGACACAGATCAGGTGAGTGAGTTTAGGTTTACACTGCATTTAGCAAAGTTCGAGCAATGTCACGCCGGGGGACACCACAAATGGGCACCACACATTTGGGGAATCGATCCTGGGTCTTCGGCATGACGAGCGAACATTGAAGCCACTACTTTAGGTCTGCATCAGACCGCCCCTGAGATCAGGTAAATCACATTTTCACCATTAGTTACGTTTTTCATGGCTGTTTTTTCTGGACATAACTTTTTGGAAAGACTTTTCAGAAACAACTTTCCATTTACAATGTTTGTTTGAAAATTGTTTTGTGACTATGACAGGTTGGTGCTGTGTTTCAGACCCGCTTAGTACCAAGGGCAACCGAAAAGCTGGAAGAAATGCTATCCTGGGCAGGTATCTCGCCTGATGAAGGTAGGTAAGAAATGTCTCATTCAAGTGAGTGAGTGAGTTTAATTTTACACCACACTCAGCAATATTCCAGCTGTATGGCTGCGATCTGTATGCAGTGGAGTCTGGATGTACACAATTGGGATACGATGACATGTGTCATTGTGTCAACATCGTCAGCGAGCCTGGCCACCCTATCCCGTTAGTCACCTCTTATGACAAACATGGGTTACGGAAGATCAATTCTTAACCGGATCTTCACGGGTCATCTCGCCCAAGCACTTACACATGCACTGATTAAAATATTTGGAAGAATGCTTTTGGATAATAGAAGTTAAAAAACACTTTAGCAAACCAAGGAGTTGAGTCAGTATGTTTTGTCGACTCATGAAGATATATTTGACATGTGGGTGACCTTGACTCTTTTGTATATTTGTCTGGGTGCTTGGAGGGAATATTTCTGTTGGGTCTTGGCAGTCTCTTAAACGTTGTTTTCTGTCAATACTGGATGTTTGCAAATATTGTGTAATCTTGAATATTTTATCTTCTATTATATCCGGTATATCAGTGTCTATTAATTTTCAGGGCCCAGCCAAGGCGGTAACTATGGTCCATACAAACAGGTATGAGATGTCTGAATGTTCGAAAAACATCTTTAGCAACCCATGCTTGTCGTAAGAGGCATGTCGTAATGGTATCGGAAGGTCAGGCTCACTGACTTGGTTGACACATGTCATCATATCCCAATGGCGTAGATCGATGCTTATGCTGTTGATCACTGGATTATGTGGTCCAGACTCGGTTATTTACAGACCGCTGCCACATAGCTGGAATACTGCTGAGTGCGGCGTAAAACTAAACTCACTCACTGTAATGTGTATGAGTTGTACTTACATTTGAGGAATGTTAATTGTCATTCTTTACGTATCTTTTCAGTCTGAAAGAATTGAGCTCTACCAAGAAAGCATCAAAGTGCTTATTCAAGTAAGTAGAAACACCCTAGAGCATACAGAATCTGTCTTAATGTTTATCGCGGTCAGAATCGGTTGTCTAACAGTCTCATGATGGCCCTGTATAGACAGATTCCACAATACTGATCACGGAGATATCTACACCAGGGTTTACACAGGACAATTCCCATCCTCGAGGCTATATGTTCAAATAAATCGCCACTTGGACCTTGGATGCATCTACGCCTCGGCCCGATAAATGTATTCCCTGGATATTATTGAGGATGAAAAAAGCCTGAAATTTAGACATTTTACTCTAAAAGGGACCTAAATTCAATTTAGCCATGAGTAGGCTCTAATTGCTAGTGATTTGTCCTAAAAATGCCCTTAATCTAGCAAAACTTGTCAAATTATAATTTTACAGGAAACTAATACTTAATATAAATACCTTGCAATGACAATATGTTTGAGCTAATCTCCATTGTGAAGCAAAACTTTCCCAGAACAGTAATGTAGCTGAGAGTTATTTCCCTCTGATGGTCAGTCCCACATCTGACCAACCTCGCCTGTATTCAACTACTTATGTGTTATGTGTTTGTATAGTTCCTTAAAATTGTTAATTCTGCCTTGGAAATCACCTTAAAAAGCCTTGAATTTGATGGCTGATAATCTGTAAGAACCCAAATATTATCAAGCTTGGATTGTAATTAAAGATGTGAGGGCATTCAGTACTGCTTTGATCATGAAATAAAGGGAAGTAACTCATATTTTCCCATATTTGAAGCACATGACGCCAATCCAGGAAATGCTACAAACAAACCTTATGTTATCTCCTGTTGATACAATGCATTAAGTCTTGTTTTGTTGTTATTCCATTGCTCGATATCTTATTGCTTCCCCAGTTGCGTGTGTTCCCCAGTTGCTTGAAGAGACGGCTTCACGCAAGTTCCAGGGTGAATGAGCTAAAAATGTTTCAACACAATGTAAACAGGTTAGCTGTTAAAAATCTTCATGTGTCTTGAAAGCTGGATATATATTTTGGTTCCAGGGTGAATGAGCTTTCAGAAAATACTTTCTGAAAAATATGCATGTAAGAGAAATTAGCTGTTAAAAATCTTCAAATTTTGCACATTGTCATCAAAATTTAACTATTTGATTTGATTTTTACGTTTTCATTTATGTCATTCATTAAGTTGAACAACTATCAATGACAGTACCAAATTATGTTTCATTATTTTCTTAATAAGACTTTTAGACATCGCTTTTGTGTGACATGCAGAATTTCCCTGTACGTGGTCAGGCAGTCACGCGAATGAGTGACCTCTCACAGTTTACAGATCTGATAAACAAATCATTGTTTATTATCATGCTAATTGTGTAAAGCAGAATATTTCTGTTACAGAATGAGAGTGCATACCATTGTTTCTGTACGCCAAGAAGACTGGAACTAGTTCGTAGAAGCTGGTCGCAGAGGGGAGACCCCGAGATATGACAATAGGTGTCGCCAGTGGTCAAGTTCAGAAGTCAAGGAGAAGTTAGCAAGAAATACACCCTATGTTATCAGGTTAAAGGTGAGGGAGAAAATAGGTTCAAGATGCAAAAGGGTTAATTTTATACCGGGTTCAGTTGTTACATGATTAGCTATGCAGAGTTGCATCCCTTGGGCACAGCAGAATCCTGTGATTTGTCGTTTCAATTCAGGACCTATCAGTGACATGACCCTTGATATTGTTACATATGTTATATTTGGGATTACACTTTTTCAGTTAAGTACCAATTCTAGTACTTTTGATGGGTCCAGTCCCATCTGGGATTCGAACCCACACCCTCAGAGTCATCCACCTAATTGCCAGCACACAGTCAGCTGCCTAACCCGCTCAGCCACTGCAGCTTCCACTTGATATTGTTGATTTAAAAGAGAAATGATATGTTTATTTGAGCGTTATTAGAAAGAAAAAATTTAAATGACTTCTGGGCCCCATAGTGCTAAGATGATCGTAACTTATACTTTAACATAGACTTACGACTGTCGTAGTGCTACGATCACTTTGAGGAACGGGGCCCTGGACTCACCAGAATACAGTGTTTTGCTGTGGACACAGTTAATATTTGTCAGTTTAAGATCCATGATGAATATATGAGTTCGTGTAGGTAACTGTTGACTTGCAGAAATGTGTAAAGTTTCTTAACAGAATACTGTCTGATGACCTAATCAGTGCTACGGAAGTAAGTTTTATGCTGCTGTTGTAGCTTGAAGACGTAGCAGAGCCGTGGGATGATCTGCTGAAAGGACGTACGTCGCACAACTTAGCCGATGCTGAGGGGGATCCGGTGAGGAACATCACCACATCTTCCTTTATTCATAGGGAAAAGTGTCAGGGAGATGTTCTGAAAAGATACACATTGCTTGTGTGTTTCAAAATTTGACTAAATCTATGCTCACTCTCTAACTGTTACATAACTTAACAAAACTATACTCATCAGCAAAAAAACACATCAGTTCGAATTCAAAATTAGATAGGTACTGTAATCAAATCATTACAGAAATGGACATAATAAGCGGATCAAAAACATTTTTTGTGTACAATATCTTGACATATGAATGAATAACTCAGCACAATTCCAAGACATTACGTGAACGTTTGCAGTCCATTCAGACTCTTGACTTCAGTATCTAGTGTGACCACCACGAGCGGCAATAACTGCAGCACAGCATCTATTCATGGAGTGCACCAATTGATTGATGATGGCCATTGGCACCTTGAACTTCACTCTGAGAAAGGCCTGGCGCAATAAATTGAATGTGTTCGGCCTTTCTATGACATTATTCAGTCTCCTCTGAATTTCATCCCAAAGATGTTAAACTGGGTTTAAATTAGGACTAAGAGCTGGCCACTGCATAATGTTGACACCGTTCTGCTGTAGGAAGTCCCGTGTAGCTCTGGCAATATGGGCCCGGGTGTTATCATGCTGGAAAATGTTGTTCCGGTGATGTGCGAAATGTAGTATGACGTGGTGTCTGAAAGCTTGGTCGATATAGCGCACCGCTGTGATGCTGCCTCCTCTTCCTGGACCAAGGTTCTGGAACACCACAGGACCCACTCTCTGGTTCAGGCCTATTCCACCTCATAAAATGATGCTTGCACCTCCCCATGAGTCTCTTTCCATAACACATTGGTCTGAGTAATGCTGGCCATGTCGTCGCCATATTCTTGTTCTGCCATCTGCAGTTGATATGCAGTACCGACTCTCATCTGTAAACAGAACAGTTCTCCATTGCCTGTATCACCAGTTTTGGTGTTGTAGGGCAAACTGTAAACGTTCACGCTGATGACGAGGGGTTAGGATAGGTCCACGGTAAGGTCTACGGCAATGGAGGTTCCCGCTGTTAAGACGTCGGCGTACTGTATCAGTAATGATTGGTCTTCCGTGTGTTCCCACTGTCTGGCGTGCTGTTTCGGATGCTTGCATGAAGGGATTCTGTACATGCTATCGCACAACATGGCGGTCTTGTGTCTTGTGGTCACCCTTAGTCTGCCAGTACAGGAGGTGATCATTTGTGGTGTTGGTGGCCCGGAAATGTTGCTGCAGCCTGTAGATGGTCCGAACGTTGACCTGGAAGTGATTGGCAACGGCTTGTGCAGTGTGGCCAGCTTCAAGTCTTCATAGCGCCTGGTTCCTCTGAGTTGTCGTGAAAAGGGGCATCCTGCTGACATTGTAATGTGAATGTTTCAACCAGGTTTGGGGGTGCATGTGATAGGGCTGGTCCTTGAGAACAGCATGTGCAGCATGAGTTGCATGAAAAACATGGAGAACACCGTACCATCTCCGAGATCAGGTTGCGTCTTTGAGACCATTTCCTGGGTTCCATTCTGAGTTTGGAAAGGAATGTCTTTGCTCAGGTAAAGTTGGAGATGTAAAAAATATACAATCAAAACATTAAATGAGTTTACAGTTATACGTTTCTGCGAAGGAAAATTCCAAACTGACTTTTCCTTTGCTTAGTATATATAAATATCAATTTTTTTTCTTTTGATGACTGGAATTATATGAATGGTTGTATTTTTTGTGTTTTAGGTTCTCATTAAAAGTGACAGGTTTCCTACATACCACTTTGCCAATGTGGTAGATGATCATCATATGGGGATCACTCATGTTCTTCGAGGAGACGTAAGTTGTGTGAACATTCCGATAACACAAGTGTGTTCATGTTGTAGTCAGTACTGGACAGTGTTAGTATGATGGCTGGATGTCATGGTGTGATGACTGGATGTCATGGTATGATGACTGGATGTCATGGTGTGATGACTGGATGCCATGGTGTGATGACTGGATGCCATGGTGTGATGACTGGATGTCATGGTGTGATGACTGGATGTCATGGTGTGATGACTGGATGTCATGGTGTGGTGACTGGATGTCATGGTGTGATGACTGGATGTCATGGTGTGATGACTGGATGCCATGGTGTGATGACTGGATGTCATGGTGATGACTGGATGTCATGGTGTGATGACTGGATGTCATGGTGTGATGACTGGATGTCATGGTGTGATGACTGGATGTCATGGTGTGATGACTGGATGTCATGGTGTGTGTGACTGGATGTCATGGTGTGATGACTGGATGTCATGGTGTGATGACTGGATGTCATGGTGTGGTGACTGGATGTCATGGTGTGGATGACTGGATGTCATGGTGTGACTGACTGGATGTCATGGTGTGATGACTGATGACATGGGTTCAATCCCCACTGGGTGTCATGAGTGAAGTGACTGGATGTCATGGCAGTATTGACTGGATATTGCCATGGCTGTGATGACTGGATGTCATGGTCAGTTGACTGGATGTCATGGTGTGGTGACTGGATGTCATGGTGTGGTGACTGGATGCCATGGACTGGATGTCATGGTGTGGTGACTGGATGTCATGGTGTGACTGGATGTCATGGTGTGGTGACTGGATGTCATGGTGTGATGACTGGATGTCATGGTGTGACGTGACTGGATGGGTGTGATGACTGGATGTCATGGTGTGATGACTGGATGTCATGGTGTGATGACTGGATGTCATGGTGTACTGGATGTCATGGTGTGATGACTGGATGCCATGGTGATGACTGGATGTCATGGTGTGGTGACTGGATGTCATGGTGTGGTGACTGGATGCCATGGTGTGATGACTGGATGTCATGGTGTGGTGACTGGATGCCATGGTGTGGTGACTGGATGTCATGGTGTGGTGACTGGATGCCATGGTGTGATGACTGGATGCCATGGTGTGATGACTGGATGTCATGGTGTGGTGACTGGATGTCATGGTGTGATGACTGGATGTCATGGGTGATGACTGGATGTCATGGTGTGATGACTGGATGTCATGGTGTGGTGACTGGATGCCATGGTGTGATGACTGGATGTCATGGTGTGATGACTGGATGTCATGGTGTGGTGACTGGATGTCATGGTGTGATGACTGGATGTCATGGTGTGGTGACTGGATGCCATGGTGTGATGACTGGATGTCATGATGTGGTGACTGGATGCCATGGTGTGATGACTGGATGCCATGGTGTGATGACTGGATGCCATGGTGTGATGACTGGATGCCATGGTGTGGTGACTGGACTGGATGCCATGGGTGTGATGACTGGATGTCATGGTGTGATGACTGGATGTCATGGTGTGGTGACTGGATGTCATGGTGTGATGACTGGATGCCATGGTGGGTGTGATGACTGGATGTCATGGTGTGGGTGACTGGATGCCATGGTGTGATGACTGACTGGATGTCATGGTGTGATGTCATGGTGTGGTGACTGGATGTCATGGTGGGATGACTGACTGGTACGTGACTGGATGTCATGGTGTGATGACTGGATGCCATGGTGGGTGTGATGACTGGATGCCATGGTGTGATGACTGGATGTCATGGTGTGATGACTGGATGCCATGGTGGGTGATGACTGGATGCCATGGTGTGATGACTGGATGTCATGGTGTGTGATGACTGGATGTCATGGTGTGGTGACTGGATGTCATGGTGGGACTGGATGATGGGATGTGATGACTGGATGGGTGTGATGACTGGATGTCATGGTGGGTGATGACTGGATGTCATGGTGTGCGTGACTGGATGTCATGGTGGGTGTGATGACTGGATGCCATGGTGTGATGACTGGATGTCATGATGACATGATGTGTGGTGACTGGATGTCATGGTGTGATGACTGGATGTCATGGGTGATGACTGGATGTCATGGTGGGATGACTGGATGTCATGGTATGATGACTGGATGCCATGGTGGATGGCAGGTGATGACTGGATGTCATGGTGGGCGTGATGACTGGATGTCATGGTGGGTGTGGATGACATGGTGTGATGATGGATGTCATGGTGTGATGACTGGATGTCATGGTGTGATGATGACTGGATGTCATGGTGGTGACTGATGATGTCATGGTGGGTGTGATGACTGGATGCCATGGTGTGATGACTGGATGTCATGGTGACTGGATGCCATGGTGTGATGACTGGATGTCATGGTGTGATGACTGGATGTCATGGTGTGATGACTGGATGCCATGGTGGGTGTGACTGGATGTCATGGTGTGGTGACTGGATGTCATGGTGTGCGGGATGACTGGATGCTGGTGGGTGATGACTGGATGTCATGGTGTGGTGACTGGATGCCATGGTGTGGTGACTGGATGCCATGGTATGATGACTGGATGTCATGGTGTGGTGACTGGATGCCATGATGTGATGACTGGATGCCATGGTATGATGACTGGATGTCATGGTGTGGTGACTGGATGTCATGGTGTGATGACTGGATCTCATGGTGGTGGGATGATGGTGTGGTGACTGGATGCCGTGGTGTGGTGACTGGATGTCATGGTGTGATGACTGGATGCCATGGTGTGATGACTGGATGCCATGGTGTGATGACTGGATGCCATGGTGTGATGACTGGATGTCATGGTGCGGGACTGGATGTCATGGTGGGTGACTGGATGTCATGGTGTGGTGACTGGATGTCATGGTGTGATGACTGGATGCTGTGACTGGATGCCATGCTGTGATGACTGGATGCCATGGTGTGATGACTGGATGCCATGGTGGTGTGGTGACTGGATGCCATGGTGTGTGATGACTGGATGCCATGGTGTGATGACTGGATGCCATGATGCCATGACTGGATGCCATGGTGTGATGACTGGATGCCATGGTGTGATGACTGCCATGGTGATGACTGATGCGTTGGACTGGATGCCATGGTGTGATGACTGGATGACTGGATGCCATGGTGTCATGGTGTGATGACTGGATGCCATGGTGTGGTGTGATGACTGGATGCCATGATGTGATGACTGATGCCATGGTGTGATGACTGGATGCCATGGTGGGTGTGATGACTGGATGCTATGGTGTGTGACTGATGACTGTGATGCCATGGTGCCATGGTGTGGATGACTGGATGCCATGGTGGGTGATGACGGATGACATGGATGCTGACGACATGGTGTGATGACTGGATGCCATGGTGTGATGACTGGATGCCATGGTGTGATGACTGGATGTCATGGTGTGGATGACTGGATGCCATGGTGAGTGTGATGACTGGATGCCATGGTGTGGACGACTGGATGTCATGACTGGATGCCATGACGGGTGACTGGATGCAATGGTGTGATGACTGGGTGCCATGGTGTGATGACCTGATGTCATCGTGTGATGGCTGGATGTCATGGTGTGATGACTGGATGCCATAGTGTGATGACTGGATGTCATGGTGTAGTGACTGGATGTCATGGTATGATGACTGGATGTCATGGTGTGATGACTGGATGTCATGGTGTGGTGACTGGATGTCATGGTGGTGATGACTGGATGTCATGGTATGATGACTGGATGTCATGGTGTGATGACTGGATGTCATGGTGTGATGACTGACTGGATGTCATGGTGTGATGACTGGATGCCATGGTGTGATGACTGGATGTCATGGTGTGATGACTGGATGTCATGGTGTGATGACTGGATGTCATGGTGTGGTGACTGGATGTCATGGTGTGATGACTGGATGCCATGGTGTGATGACTGGATGTCATGGTGTGATGACTGGATGTCATGGTGTGATGACTGGATGCCATGGTGTGATGACTGGATGCCATGGTATGATGACTGGATGCAATGGTGTTGTGACTGGATGTCATGCTGGGGTGACTGAATGTCATGGTGGGTGTAGTGAAGGGATGCAATGGTGTGATGACTGGGTGGCACTGACCCATGTAACTTCGAACTTAATGTTTCTCTGCTCCCATGACATCTTTTCGTTTAATACAAAACATCCAAATGCACTAGTATGATGTTCTCTATATGTATGTCATAGTGTGAAGATTGAATGTCATGGTATAAGATTGTTATTATCCCCATGGCATGTAATGCGGGGGGATATAGTCGTCGCCTCGTCTGTCCGTCCGTAATCATTTTGTTTCCGGAGCATAACTCAAAGAAATTGGTAGATATGTCAAACATAACCTAAGGTGGTGCCTTTTGCTATTTACAGATTATTATCATTTTTATTTTTCTCGGTTTCCATGGAAACGTTTTGGACTTAGTCTTAAAGAGGGATGGGCTTCATTTCCGGAGCACAACTCAAGAACCGTTAAATATTTTTCAACAAAACTTGGTAGATATATCAAACAGAACCTTAAATGGTGCCTTTTGCTATTTGCAGATTTTTGGCATTTTTATTTTTCCCGATTTACATGGAAACGATTCAGACTTAGTCCAAAAAGTGAGGGGTGGGCTTCGTTTCCAGAGCATAACTCAAGAACCGTTCAATATTTTTCAACAAAACTTGGGAGATATATCACACAGAACTTGAATTGGTGCCTTTTGCTATTTGCAGATTTTTGGCATTTTTATTTTCCCCGGTTTCCATGGAAACGAATCAGACTTAGTCTCAAAAGGAAGGGGTGGGTTTCGTTTCCGGAGCACAACTGGAAAACTTCTTAATATCTCTCAGCAAAACTTGGCAGATATGTGAGGCAGATCCCAAAGTGGTGCCTTTTGCTATTTGCAGATTTTTGTGATTTATTATTTTCTGAGTTTCCATGGAAACGATTCGGACTTAGTCTCATAAGGGAGGGATAGGCTTTTGGTGCCTTTTGCTATTTGCAGTTTTTTGTCATTTATTTTTGTCATGATTTCCATGGAAACGATTTGCACTTAGTGTAAAATCAAGCTGGACTTTAAGTAACTGTCAGATGATTTATTCTTTCAAAGATGTTGGGGCCGGGGGAATATGTCATGTTCTGATGACTGTTGTTTGTCATGGTATGAGATTATGTCACCGTGTGGATTTGGATATTGTGATATGAGGTTAAGATGTGACTATGTTAAAATTGGATTATTGTCAGGATAGTGATAAGGTGTCTTGATGTGAATGTTGGATGTCATGGTACTGCCTTTGTTTGTTTAGGAATGGCAGACCTCCACGCCCAAACATCTGTTACTGTACAAATCATTTGGATGGGATCCTCCCCGATTTGCTCACCTCCCTCTCATTCTCAACAAGTGAGTTGCTACAATGTCTTGAACATGTCTTGTCTACCTTGTTAACATTGTGTTGTTGTTTGCCATATGGGGATTCATCCGTCACCATCCTGGGTTTGTTTTCAAAGTATCGTCATCACTTCCACACCTACTGGTAGCCTAGTGGTTAAGGCGTTCGCTCGTCACGCCGGGTTCGATTCCCATCATGGGCACAATGTGTTAAGTCCATTTCTGGTGTCCCCCGCCGTGATATTGCTGGAATATTGCTAAAAGCGGCGTAAAACTAAACTCACTCACTCACTCACCTACTGAGCAGAGAATTTCTCTGGCTCTTCAGACTTACATGACAGCATGGCTATTTATAGCATCTTTCCATATTTATAGACCTGTAAACAATGTATTGTGCCAGATATATTTGCATCGATTATAATGAACAGAAGTTGTATGGCGTAAAGATTCCCTGTTGGCTGCAAAACCTGACTTGGAAACTGACATTCATTAGCCTATGCTAATGCATTATGCTGATCATGCAGTTTTCACAAGAACATATTCTTGAAATGACAAATTTTTAAACTTATCCTATCTCATGGTATGCACCTCTCCTCTTCTTCTAAGACCATGTGTGGAAACGTGCTGTAGGCTAAGTTGACCCGCCCTGACCCCTGCCCCCACTCCGACATCAGCACCTATCAATCATCTCAGTAATCGTGCAGCTCGCTCAGATGATCATGTGACTACCTGTGCCTGTCATTCTCTTTTTGTCGCTACGTCGTGTGGATGTGTGCTTGTCCCTAAGAAAGTTTGATTGTGTTTCTACAATGTGAAAATCGAATCGCAATAGTGCTATAAAGCGCAAACATTGCGATAAATGCAACAGCAACTTCTCGGTGGCAGACCCACATGCTTTATGTGTTGATTGTTTAGGACGTTATGAGTGGTCTCAACGTTGCACTTTTTGTGCAGACCTCAACGATGATGCTTTTTCTGAATATTGCCGGGTAGCTTGTAGACGCATGTCAGACAGGATCGCCGCCAACCAGCTGAGGGTCCTTCTGTGCATAAACGCTTCTAAGACAGAACGCCAGAAGAAAAACTGCAGTCCAACGTTCGAAGTCCCTATCGCCTGCTGAAGATTTCCTAAGGGAGGCGTCAGGATTCTTACCTCATTGAAAATTTACATCAACTTTTCCGGCCGCATGCGTCTAGCCCCATCACTTTAAAAGACTGTTCACCACCTAGGGTTGTCGTGTTGTCTACGTCTTCTCTTCAAACCTGTCCCTCTTCAGTGATACCTATTCCTCAGTGCACTTCTGTTCCTGAGGTGGGGGTTTCTCGAGCGGCGCTTGGTGTGACTACTAGCATTACATCTCAAGTGACACTTCCTTGCAGTGCGGCGCTTTCCATTCGGAGCTTGTGTCGAATGTGTCAATTGCTTCGGGTGCAGTGGATGGTTTCGGTGCGGCGCTCTCTCATCCTCCGGTGGGGTTGACAGGTGTGTCAATGATTCCTAGAGTGCCTTTTTCCACATCTATCCTTTATCATGTACGGTTGGGTTATGGACGAACGTGTTATTCTAGTGTGTCGTTTGCTGTTCCAGCACCGCTTACATCAGGACAGTTACCTGTTGGTAGAGCACCGCTTGTTACCGATCCCATGATGTCATTCAGAGCGCCACTTGCTTCCTGTTCGGCGCTCTTGTGTGCCTCTGGTTTGGCGCTTCCTCCCGGTGTTCCCGGTTCGGCGCTTTATCCCGTTGTTCCCGGTTCGGCGCTTTATCCCGGTGTTCCCGGTTCGGCGCTTTATCCCTGTGTTCCCGGTTCGGCGCTTTATCCCGTTGTTCCCGGTTCGGCGCTTTATCCCGGTGTTCCCGGTTCGGCGCTTTATCCCTGTGTTCCCGGTTCGGCGCTTTATCCCGGTGTTTCCGGTTTGGCGCTTTATCCAGGTGCTCCCGGTTCGGCGCTTTATCCTGGTGTTCCCGGTTCGGCGCTTTATCCCGGTGTTCCCGGTTCGGCGCTTTATCCCGGTGTTCCCGGTTCGGCGCTTTATCCCGGTGTTCCCGGTTGGGCGCTTTATCCCGGTGCTCCCGGGTTCGGGCCTAATCCCTGTGCTCCCAGTTTGGCGCGTATTCATGGAGGCTTTGGTTTGGCTCTTACTCACAGTATTCCTGGTTCGATGCTTGCTCCAAAGGGGCTCCTGGTTCAGCGTTTACTCACGGGGTTCGTGCTTCGCTTACTCATAGTTCACTGGCTTCAAGGTTGACTCATGGGGCATTTGGTTTTAAGCTTCCTCAGGGTTCAGCGCTCAATTCTCATGTGTCTAGTTCGGCGCTTGGTCCAATCAGCTTAGCTTTTGTGTCCAATGTCAGGGACCCTACGGGTTTGTTGCCTCATGGGGGTGTGCCTCAGTCAGCTGGGTGTCCGTCTGCTCTCAGTGAGGTGCCTCGTCATCCAGTAGTGTCTGCGTCTGTTTCGTCAGTTCCTCCTACAACGGGATCGGTGGTGAGACCTATTTTCCCGGTATCCTGGAATCTGGTGTCGGAGGTTTCGATTTTGACGCCATTGTGCTAGCGGTAGCATGAGCATTACGGCATCAGGCGCCACCAACTTCCGCTGCTGTTCAGTCATCGGGTCCTTCGACCAATCCAGTTCCACTTTTAGCGGAGGTGCGTCGTTCGACGACGCCATCTCCTTCTTCTGATGGTACGGCACTGTCGGATGGTAGCGTGGATGCTGTTGACACACCTCAACTACTCATTTGGATTGCCAATAGCCTCTGTTTACAGTGTAGTAGTTGATCGGCGGATTTATTATCCTGTTTTGATATGAAGCAAGGTGATTTCGGTTCCATCAAGTTCCCACCTCGACTGTGAATTACTCAATTGGCAGCATCTCTGGATGAGGCTTTTGGTAACCTGAGGAAGGTTAAGGATGGGTTCGCGGCACCTCGCTTCAATTTGGCATCTGCTCATGTGCATGGTTTCTCTACGCTGATTGTCTCCCCTCCGGTGCATGATGATATTACGTTGCTGGGAACTAAACAGAAAGCCTACTTGCCGTCCTGGTGGAGGATTGTGAGCTTTTGAATCTGGATGGTGTCATAAGGAAGATTATGGCGCCACACAACATGGTGTTGACGACTACCGAAGCAGTGGCTATGTCGGTTGCACATGCTACGTCCCATCAACAAGTGTATATTCCAGCGGCTATGGTCCTGTTGCAAGAGCAATTTCAGACCATTCTGGATCAGTTGGCTCACTTCTTTTCGTATGTCACAGCTGTGCGTCGCAGGGGGCCTTTGCACTTCATGGGAGGATCGGTCTCGTACTGATCTCTTTCGGCAGCCGTGGTCTGGCAGGTCTCTTTTCAACGGGGGCGATTAGAGATGTCGCCAACAGAGTTGGTCAAGATGCTCATTTACAAGTGTCAGTGGAATTGTTGGAATTCCAACGTTTGCAGGTGGAGGAATCGTTGCGTCGGCGACGACTAGCCCGTTATGTTCCTGTCAATCTGGACCTGCGTGTGGGTTCTACTGCTTCCTTTCTTTGAAAGGGATCCTTTGGCAGAGTTCAGGGCAGTGATTCTTGCAATCAGTCACTGGCAGGATGTCCTACGAGCAACTTTCCTCATGATCCGATCGGACAACGCAGCGGTGGTTTGGCATATCAACAGAAGGGGTCCACGGGGTCTACTCAACTGCTCCAGTGGACCCAACAGTTCTTCGATCTGGTGGACTCTCTCAACATCTTAGTCCGAGCCAACCACATTCCGGGTGAAGAATGTCATCGCAGATTCTCTGTCCCGGCCGAGTCGTCCCTTTCCAATGGAATGGAGATTACATCCTCAGGTGTTCCAGACCCCTTGTCTTCCATTGACATCTCTTCGCCATCCGATTCAACCATCAGCTGCCTCGGTTTGTGTCACCGATTCCGGACCCTCTGGCTTGGGACCTCGATGCTCTAGCCATTCCGTGCGAGGACCTGAACGCTTATGCGTTTCCGCCAGTAACCCTTCTTCCTTGCATATTAGTGAAACTGCGCGCAACCCAGAGGATGACTCTGCGTTTGGTCCCGCCCAGAAGCTGGTTGTAAACCTTCAAGACCTAGCCGAACCAGATCCTGTACCACTTCGCGTTCGACCCGATCTCCTATTACATCCGCACTCTGATCAGCTGCATTGGTCCCCGTTGACGCTCCATAGGCACGCTTGGCGCATATACATCGGTTGTTAACGGCAAAGGGCTTTTCTAAACGGGTGGCTACTGCCGTTTCTACAGCGCATCGTACTTCTACGAGGTCACTCTACGATGACAAATGGAAGAATTTCGAAGCGTATTGCAGGAAGAAGGGCGTCTCATCCCCCACTACGCCCTCCCCGCAGATGGTGGCAGAGTACCTTCAACATCTACAAACCTCCAGAAAACTCAAAGGTTCTACACTATCTACCTACCTGGCTGCTCTTAACACTGTTATTGCAGCGGCCTCGGGTGTGAAGGTGTCCACTGTCCCTGAACTCCAGTCTCTCCTCCGGTCTTACAAACTGGCTGACCAATCTTGGAAATTCCGGCCTCCAACTTGGGATCTTTCCATTGTACTTGCTCATCTCACGTCAGCTGATTACGAATCTTTGGAGGAGAAAGATTTCGAACATGTCTCCTTTTAAGACCTTCTTTCTCTTGGCCTTGGCTACAGCTGACCGTATTTCCGAGTTGCATGCTCTTGATGTTTCTCGGGTGCGGTTTGAAACCTCTAGACATGCGAGAATTTCCTTGGTTTGCGATGGGATTTTCTCGCCAAGAATCAGTTACCAGGACAGCCAGATCGCACATTCACGATTCCGCCGTTGTCCACTAACTTGGGCCCAGATGACACTGAGGATCTGTCCTTATGCCCGGTGCGTGCATTAAGGATTTACCTAGCTGCCTCACAGGATCGCCGCAGACTGCGTAAGAGATTGTTCATTCCATTGTCTACTGCCTCCACATCGGAAGTCTCCAGTACTACCTTGAGTAGACTCGAGCTCTTGCCTCCACCATGGCTCTTCACAGAAATTGTGGCCCGTGAAGATCCGGGGTAGAATAGGTCTTCAGCAACTCATGCTTGCCACAAAAGGCGACTATGCTTGTCGTAAGAGGCGACTAACGGGATCGGGTGGTCAGGCTCGCTGACTTGGTTGACACATGTCATCGGTTCCCAATTGCGCAGATTGATGCTCATGCTGTTGATCACTGGATTGTCTGGTCCAGACTCGATTATTTACAGACCGCCACCATATAGCTGGAATATTGCTGAGTGCGGCGTAAAACTAAACTAGAAATTGTTCCCTGCAGTCCATCATGGAGGGCTGTTTTTGGAGATCCGATACAGTGTTTGCTTCACACTACCTGAGGGACCTATCGGTTACAGACGTGGAAGGTCTACATCAATTCTGCCCCTTGGTCCTGGCGCAGCAATTGTCATCGGCCCGTGTTCTCAGATAAAGCAATTCTTTGGTCGGTGTTGCTCTGTTCATAATAAAAGATATTGATGTTATCCATGTCTTGGTACTTTTTTCCATTGGGATTAGAATATTCACACCTATGGGAATAGGGCGTGTCTGCACTGTCATAAGTTATGACTTAATAGACTGTGAGGCCAGTCTTGTGCTACATGCAGAGATGATCGACACTTACTGACCTCTACTCTCCGAGCAATTACATCAGTAAAGTGTTGATTTCCGATTACCTACATGGTTTTCGAAGCGTTCTGCTCCTAAGTCCTTTCTCACCTTGGTAAGTTAGGGAGATTGGTTCTGAACGTTAAACTAGTTGAGCAACAGAGCCATTCCCCCTTTCACCGCCTACCAGCGTGTGTCTGTGGGGGGTAGTTTCGAAGCAGGGACTGTCCAGATTAAGGTCTTCGCCTTTAGTTCACTGGGGTCACCTGATAAATTCGTTGGGCGGCGGCAGGGCCTACTTGCCAAACTGTGTCCTTTTGCTTGTCAAAAGTTGCGGCTGAAAACCATATTAATTCGGGAGCGCCCACTCCCTAGAGTTTTTGTGCTGTGTAAGCCAAGGGGTTACAAGAAACCCATCTCAAGTTTGGAGTCTGCATATCGGGAGTTGGTGCTTTCTCCTGGCCTCCTTGGGGTTATGCGGCGCTCCCCGTTTAATGCGTATTGACGGGGTAATCTGCGGCCCTCCTACCAACCGTGGGATTGTGCATACCGTGAGATAGGATAAATTTAAAAATTTGTAAATTTTATAATAAATTGTATATTTATATACTTATCCTATTTCACGCGATGGATACCCATCCGACCTGCCCCACATCACAGATTACTGGAAGCTCCAAGACGAGAATGACAGGCACAGGTAGTCACATGATCATCTGAGCGAGCTGCACGCTTACGGAGATGACTGACAGGTGCTGATGTCGGAGTGGGGGCAGAGGTCAGGGCGGGTCAGAGGCCAGTAAGATTTGATTCGACTTAGCCTACAGCACATTTCCACACATGGTCATAGAAGAAGAAGAGAGGTGCATACCGTGAGATAGGCTAAGTATATAAATATACAATTTATTATCAAATGTACAAACTCTGATGGATAAATGTTTGTTGTTTGGTTAGGGATGGAACCAAACTTTCTAAACGAGGAGATGACATCCAAGTGGAGCACTTTAAGGTAATGTTGGTTCCACTGTGGTGCTGACACTCTCATCTATACTCTGCAGAAAGAGAAATGCAAAAGTGTTTTTAAGATGTATGCTATAGTTTGTAAATAGTCATCAGATATTGATAAGTATCTTTGTGTGATAACAGTGACCGAGTGAGTATGGTTGCATCCACTGTTAGCAATATTCCAGCAATATCACGGCAAGGAATACCAGAAATGGGCTTCAAACATTGTACTCATGTGGGGAATTTTGAACCCGGGTCCTCAACGTTACGAACTGATACATATCCCAATTGCATAGTTGATACAACCAACATATAGCTGGAATATTGCTGAGTGCAGCATAAAACTAAACTAAACTCACTCCCTCACCTTGGCGCATTTCACCTCACCTCATCTTAAACCTGTGAAGATCCGGGTTAGAATAGGTCTTCAGCAACCCATGCTTGCCACAAAAGGTGACTATGCTTGTCGTACGAGGCGAGTAACGGGATCAGGTGGTCAGGCTCGCGGACTTGGTTGACACACGTCATCGTATATATCAAAATTGTGTAGATTGACGCTCATGCTGTTGATCACTGTTGATCTGGTCCATACTCGATTATTTACAGACCGCCGCCATATAGCTGAAATATTGCCGAGTGCGGTATAAACAACAAAGCAACCAACCAAATAAGGCCTAGTTGGCTCAGTGTAAGTTTTCTGTGTCGAACATGGGTTCTTATGATAAACAAGAACAAATACTGTTTCCGTAGTTATTTTCACGTGGGATTAATTTTCGCACTTTTAGCGCAAAAAGATTGTGCGCCAATAATCATACCAAGCGAAATATGACAACATCAAAGCAATTATTCCCGGTCCATGTTTACAAACTATGTGATCAAACAATGTCAAGAACTCCAGATGTTCGCCTACCGGTTATTCCTTAACACAATGTAGCTTTGATCATTCCATGACTATCGGTTGTGAAAACGTTGTGATGGATACCATCACTCAGGTGTTTGAAATGCGCGAAACAACAACTACGCTAACAGGCCTTTTGTGAACTTTACGCGAAAATTGAACCATGTGAAAATATATACGATTACAGTAATAACTGGGTAGTGATTAAAAAACTGTTTATGTCAACAATAGTACAACTTGCTACATTCATTCATATACCGGTACCTGTTCATGCATATTTCTTAATGTGAGCATGTGTTAAACGCAAATTCATAACTCCTTGTTGATTTTCACTTCCTACATCCCTCTGAATATATACGACTGATTGCTCAGAGTTGGTAGTGTAGCAAATCAAAATGACTTAAGACAAGTCCTGTTACCGTTCACTCATGTATTTGGTGAATCGAACCATATCCCCAAATGGGTACAATGTGTGAAACCCATTTCTGGTGTCTCCCGCAGTGATATTGGTTTAATATTGCCAAAATCGACATAAACCCATACTCACTCACACACTCACTTGCCTTAGGTCCCTTGGTCCTTAGTATGGTGATCTACCTTGATGATGTTGTACTTGTTGATGATCTGTTAGCTTGTTTAATATGTTGTATTGTCTATGGTTTTACATTAATATGCTAGTTTCACATCTGTATCTGTGATTTTCTGGGGTTTTTTAATGTAGTTCGTCAACTGCCTTTTATATTCTCGATTTATGTGTCATGAATGTATCACTTGTTTGTCACTATATGGCTGAAATATTGCTGATGTGACTAGAAACCTTAACTCACTCACTCAGCCTAAATATACGTATGTGTGTGATTGTAGGACGAAGGTTATTACCCAGAAGCTGTGCTGAACTACGTGACTAAAGTAGGAGGCGGTTTCTCAAGTGACGGAACTACCGGCTACTCCTTGGAGGACATGATTCAACAGGTAATACAGGCTGTGTCTTGGACACACCTTTGCGCCATTCGCTCACTAAACGTGTATATGGCAAACTTTAAAGGTACTGAAGAATGTGAAATGCTTTACGAGTTTGTTTTCACATGTCGACTCAAGCAACAACCAGCCGAGGGCTCTGAAATACATTTGTCTAACTGATGAGGAAACTATTAGGTGTAATAAGTTTTGAGTTTATACTTTAAAGTTACCATGATTATACATATGACGATTGTCACTGTTCATTGTTGAAGCATGGAGTTGCGATGTCTGCATGTCAAACAGAGTAAGGGAACTCATATTAGTAACTACTTAGTACTGTATGGCTAACAAGTCCGAGAAATTTAACATGCCCACGTTAGATAAGGACAAACTTGATGGATGAACAACTTCTTTATTGGATGATGCGACGTTTCGATACAGATTCTTGTTTTGTTGTCAAGCAAGTATGAAAAAAACAGGGTCATATACGCACTTACGCACGCACTTACGCATGCACTTACGCATGCACGTGTGATATTTGAGCAGTGACAATGTGATGACAAGGGATTACATGAAGAGGCCAGTGACAGTGGATTACAGTTAGAAGCCAGTGGGATGTACAGAGCAGGAGAGATTGGACATGTATATACAAGCATACAAGAAGTTGGGGGTGGTTGATGAGTTCCTGGTGCTGTATGTATAAAAGTTCATCTGGCAAACGTAACAGACTTCCCCTCCAAACAATGTCTGATCAATGTAGATGATGAAGTAATTTCATATCTGAATTTAATTTCTTGCACAATAAATGTGTTTCAGTTCTCTTTAGAGAAACTACGTCGTAACTCTGGGAGACTGGATCCGGAATTCCTGGATGAAGCGAACCGTGTTCATCTTGGCGCCAAGCTCAGCAGCAGTAGCAGACGGCAGGTTATAGAAGATGTCCGGACACTTGTCAAGGCCGGATATAGTCAAAGGTGGGGAGACAGACCCATGTATATTAAGGCCGTAGATTTAAACCAAAACAGCTATGAATATGTTGGTCAAAAATTGACAATTTCCAGTTTGTTGTCATTGTAAAGTATTAAAATGTTTGAATTTTTCAGCTTGGGCGAAGGGGTGTTAAGAGATCAGATCCTCAGTTCGGAGTACATTGGAAACATCCTGGACTGTGCTTTTGAGGAGGTCGGTAGAGTTCCAGTTCTGTCTCTGCAGATTATCATATGTTTATATATTTGGAAGAGTTAATGACAATTGAGATATTGAAAGAGAGGGACACTAATATAGAAGTGTGTGCAGCTTTGTTCAATTTTGGTTGGTTGGTTTCTTGCTTAACGTCACATTCAGCCAATATTCCAGCTGTATGATGGGGGTCTGTAAATAATCAAGTCTGGACCAGACAATCCAGTGATCAACTGCATGGGCATCCATCTATGCAATTGGGCTAAGATGACGTGTCAGCGTGTCAACCAATTGTTGGAGGTGTTCAGCTATATTAGCCATCCAAAAGGATTCGATAGTCAAATTTTCCTTCAATACACCTGTTTGACAAATCATCTTCGTACAAGGATCTGGTTTCTTTGTTGTTTAACATCAAGTCAGCGAGACTGACCCCGTCAGTCACCTCTTTTGACAAGTATGGGTTACTGAAGACCAATTCTAACCCAGATCTGACCTTGAATTTAAAGATTTAGATTTTATCATATCAAATTAGGACTTCAGAATTATAAGTACAGCAATCATTTCTTTAGTATGACCAGAAATTATTGAGAATTTTAGGAATATGTTTAATTGGATTTCTAGTATAAACAACCTTGACCAGCTATCAAGTGCTTGGTTTCATTCAAGAGACAACTCTGTTAATCCTTTTCCATTAGTTTGTGAAGAGTTATCCGCCTTTGTTTTATTTGCTAGCAGACGACATTTTCAGTGATCCTCAGTATGGATGATTTAGAGAAGAGGAAGTTGATTTTAGAGTATAATAACAAGGACATCAGATCAGCTAAAGTGATTTCAAGTAGAACAGGCATCCCTTTGTCCACTGTTTATCATGTTTTGAAAAATATTGCAAATGGATATGGCATTGAGCACCAGGGAGGCGCAGGTAGGCACAGAAAAATGACTGTCGGTGACAGGAGGAGGCTTGTTATTCTTGTTTCTAAAAACAAACGAAGGAGTTTAGAAAACTTAAGGCTGGATATGATTGATAGAGGAACTGTGGCTGTCTGTAAGGAGACAATTAGAACTGAGCTGCATGCAGTGGGTTGGCAGAAAAGGAGAGGAATTCCATCATTGATCATGAAACCTGAACAAAAGGAGCAAAGGTTGAACTGGTGCTTACAGCATAGAAATTTTAACTGGGACAATGTGATTTTCTCAGATCAAAGTTCTGTGTGGCTGTTTCCTAATACACTGATATTCTGGACCAAACAAACTGAAAAACCTTTGTATCAGCGCCCAAAGTACAGTCCGAAATTTAACGTGTGGGGTGGCATATCTGTGTTAGGGGCAATGCCCCTCTGTGTATTTGAAGGGAATATGAACAGTGAGCGGTACACAGATATTCTCGAGGGACATTTACTTCCATCTGCTCACGTGTTCTATGGAAATTGTTGGATTTTCCAGCAGGACAACAACCCAAAACATCGTTCAAAGCATTCACAGGCCTGGTTTCGGACCCAAAATATGACATTATTAGATTGGCCAAGCTATAGCCCTGACCTAAATCTAATAGAAAATATTGAGGGACATGTGAAGGAAAGTGTCAATAAGAAACATCTAACAAATATTGCTGAAATGAAAGAAGAGGTGGTCGATATTGGGACAGCATGGACCACGACTTTCTAACTTCTTTGATCAGTATGCCCCGCCGCATTGAAGCCTGCATTGCTGCCCATGGTGACTTAACAAAATACTAACTGTTCACCTGTCTTTGAATCTGGAGTTACAATCTTTAAATTTTTTAACTTACCTTACATCATGGTAATGTGCATATTACCTTTGCTCATCCGATACAAAGATTGGAAACGTGATCGATAAGTATCCTTGTTGAATGCTATCATGAAACTGGTGACGTGTCGATCTCGTCCGGCGAGCGGAAGCACGCCCCTCAATCCCGTCATGTGACAACAAGAACACGTCACTTTATCCTTTATCGCACAGCGAGTTGGACGTGTATATGATATTTCTTTTCTTACTGTTTCTTTGTGTTTGCTACAATAAGGTTTTCGTATTGTATCCTTCTACCATGATATAACGAAAAGCTACTCACCGTTGGCTGTTTTTTTTCTCACTGTACAGTCTTCGCGGTGTGTTGTTTTGCTTTGTTTTGCCTCACGTTGTTTATCCAGCTTTGCTTCGGTACCTCTTTGGTTTTTGTCCTTGCTTGACCATTGTATGTATCTTGTTCTCTTTCTTTGTGTGTTTTTCTTCGTAGAGGTTTTTCACATGCTTGCCAGTAATGGCGGCTGTCGCTAGGTGTGGTACATACATGCAGAGCTACCTGTGTGTGCTCTCTGTCGTTTAGTTTCGTATTCTGCTTTTCCCGCCGTTTTTCGCTTCACTGTCGCATTAAGTTGTCGGCGTTTCTTTCTTATTTGGGTAAGCGTGTGTATACCAAAGTTATGTGGTTTTGCACGTGGGCTTTCCCTTCCCATGTAGGCTTATATTTGCTTTATCATAACTGTTTGTTATGCTATATTTTCTTTGTTATAATGTTAATGTTTACTTAACATGTGTTCAACAGTAATTGTTTTACTGTTGTTGCAATTTGCTGTGGTTAGTTCATGCCACGGGTTTACTGCAGTCAGTGCAAGTCTCAGAAGTCGGCTAAAGACCACCATCCTGCTTGCCCAGATTGTCTGGTCGACTCAGCGTGTACTTGGACCTCTCGGTGCTCATTTTGCAGGCACATACCTTCCACCGACTTTAAAGCGTTCTTAGCTGCTCGGGAACAAATGTTTTACTCAACGCAGGCGTTTTACTCAACGCAAGCGTTTTACTCAATGCAAACGTTTTACTTATGTCTTCTAACGACGCCTCTGAGACTGCTCAGGTTCCTTCAACGCCTACGGCTCAGCTTGGGAACGTCTCTACGCCTTCAGCGGATTCCCCGCCAGTCCTCATTTCCGGAACGCTCTAAAGCGAGCCTCCTCACACAGGCCCAGATCGACAATGCTGTGAATCCAGGCACTCTGTCTATTCTTCAAGTTTCCCGGCTTACGGAGCACTTGGTTGGTTTACTGGAACGAGATGCTCGGCGTTCTCCCAAGCGCACAATGGAGTGAGACTCTCGACGTTCTTCACCTAGACGTTCGCCTCGGTGTTCCCCTCGGCTCTCCCGTTCTCCCAGGCGCTCTCCTGTACGGGACGTTTGGCGCTCCTCGCCTCGGCGTTCTCCTCTCTCAATCCTTCCATCAAGCCTGCTAAACATCGCTGTCACGATTACAAGGTGCATTCTTTTGACTTTCTGGATTTTTGCGCTACACAAGATGAAGCGGCCATCGATTGTCGGATGCTTGTCAAGCTCAATACAAGGTCCCAGATGCCAAGTGATTGATACGGAACTCTGTCAAACCTTGAAGCCCCTCTCTGTGCTTGCTTCGGCCATGGAGGCCATGTCTCAAGATCTCTCTGAGGATAACCCTTCCCGCTTAGATCATCTTACCACTATGTTTAGATGGCAGGCTAGAGTTCTGTCTGATGTGGTGGATCACCTTCATTCGGCCTTAGCTACCACTACTGTGACTAGGAGGACTGGGTTACTCGCTCCCTGTACCTGGCAGGAGGAATTCAAGAAAAGACTGATGCGTGCCCTGTTTGCGGCTCCCACCTTATTTGCGGATAAGATCCCGGATGTCTTTTCCTTGACCCAAACTGAGATTGTGCTCCGATGTTTCGTCACTTCGCCACATTGTCAGCGCCAACTACCAGGACCACCAACCTTTACCAATCCAGGAGGACGTCGGTTCATGGAGCCTTTAGAGGGCGTGGCAGGTACCGTCCCAACAACTTCCAACGTCGTCCCGCCGGTAACCAACAAGACCGGCAAACCCAAGTACAAGCACCGCTGATGTTTTGGGCGGTCACGTTGGGACCTCCCGCCCCCAGCCGTCCATATCCGCGATATACCTGTATGCAGGAGACTCGGGGTCTTCTGGCCCAACAATCCTAGGAGACCCCTTTGTCACCAATCTTCTCAAGACAGGCTACAAGTTGCCAATAGCCATGTCGCAGCCTTTGACCACCTCGCCCCCGGTCTCACGAATATTCCATCGTCCAGCACCTGTTGACCAACATTCAGGCGTTGTATGACAAGAAAGCCATAGAACAAGTACTAGAGCCCAGCAACTCCCCAGGGTTTTACTCTCCCATCTTCTTAGTACCCAAAAAGAATTCTCAGAAGATGAGGATGATACACAATGAGGCGGTGTTCAACAAACTTTACCTTCCGAAGCCGCCACATTTTCGGATCGTATCTATGATCCAGCTATGAACCAAACTGTCCCCAAGGATTGGTTGGTCAGTCTCGATCTTCAAAACGCCTACCTACATGTTCCTATTTCCGAACCTCACCGGAAGTTCCTGAGGTCCATTTTCGACGGTCACCATAACCAGTGGAAGGTCCTGCCGTTTGGCATCTCTATGGCCCCGTGGCTTTTCACTCGAATTACAGCACCAATTTCCCGGTATCTTCATCTTAGGGGGATAGAGTTCTGGCTACTACAGGAGTGCTGGCTACTACGCAGACAGAGGGACTTTACACTCAAGCTTTTCCACCAACTCAGTCGGATTGTCAGCCTCGAGAAGTCCCACCTAGAGCCGTTCCAACAGTTGATTTTCATAGGGGGTTTGTTCCTCACAGATCAAGACCTTCTGCGTGTTCCACCGGACAGATGGCAAAGAATCCTCAGTCTTGCTCGGCGGGGTTTGTCACACCCGCTTACACTCAGGGAATGGCAGTCCCTACTAGGTCTGACGTCAGCTCAGGATCTTACCACAAGAGGGAGATTAATGCTCAAACCGCTTCAATGGTTCCTCTCGCCTTTCATCCTCTTAACGACCTCAGGTTGCGGTTTCCACTGCCCCTTCATCTTCATCCCTTTCTTCAGTGGTGGACAATCGAGTCGAACGTCTGCGGCGGTGTCTCTTTGACCGAATTCACACACGACCGGGAACTGTTTGTGGACGCCTCTCTGCAGGGTTGGGGCGCTCCCCTGGACTCTCAGACAGCGGCAGGGCTGTGGTCAACCGCACAGGCAGGTTGGCACAGCAACAACCTAGAGATTCAGGCTGTCATCTTAACCATTCAGCACTGGATTCATTCGCTACGGGGTTCCAAGCTCTTGGTGGCATCGGACAACTCGACAGTGGTCTGGTTGATCCGCAACCAGGGAACAACCAGCTTGGGTCTTCTCTTGAATCAGACGTTTCGTTTGTATAGCCCTCTGGATGACAACAACATCCATATCAGAGCTCGTCACATTCCAGATTGCACGAACGTCTTGGCAGACACTCTGTCCCGACCAGACAAGCCATCCCCAACAGAGTGGATGCTTCATCCGGAAGCATTCGATCTGGTTTGTCACCTCCATCACAGACCGTTAGTGGACCTCTTTGCAGCGAAGCACAACCATCAACTTCCGGTCTACGTGTCTCCTCTTCTGGATCTTGTCGCTTGGGCAGTGGACGCCCTGTCCCTCTCATGGGAGGGTCTAGATGCCTACGCGTTTCCTCCTCCAGTTCTTCTTCCCAAGGTCGTAGCAAAGCTCAAGGAGTATCAAGCAGATGACTCTGCTTTTGGTCGCGCCTTGGTAGCCGGCGAGAACCTGGTTCCCCGAACTACGTCGACTCGCCGAAAGAGATCCTCAACCGCTACCACAGTGGCTGCACCTTCTACGGCATCCTCACAGCCGCCTGTTGCACCCAGATCCGGACAGATTTCATCTATGCGCTTGGGTCATCTTCAGAAAGCTCTGAAATCCAAGGGTTATTCAGCTGGTGTGGCTACAATCATCCCCTGTACTCATAGTGTCCACCCGCAGCTTGTATGATGGCAAATGGTCTGCATTTGAGAAGTTTTGCGCTGATCGCTCTAAGAATCCGGTTAAAGCGTCTCCTCAATTTATTGCGGGAATTCCTCCTCTACCTACGCAACACTCGTCATCTGAAGGGTGGTACGATTTCTACTTATTTGGCAGCCCTTAATTCAGTGCTGGCCATCAAGTCTGATAGGAAGGTCTCCAAGATCCCAGAATTACTGGCCATGCTGAAAGCATTTAAGTTAGAGGATCACAAGTCGAAGTTCCGCCCTCCAGCTTGGGATCTTAATGTGGTTTTACAACACCTTCGTGGACGTCCTTATGAGCCTTTCTCTGTGGCCTCCTTCGAGGACTTGTCAAGGAAAACAGCTTTTCTTTGGGCCCTTGCTACTGCAGCCAGAGTTAGTGAGCTTCACGCCACAGATGTCACCAGGATTAGGTTTGAACAGACTCGTCACGGTTCCGTCCATTTGGGTCTTCTCTGGGACTTCATTGCCAAGAACCAGTTGCCTGCTCAACAATCGTATGTTTGTCATCCCTTCTTTGTCTTCTATAGTGGGCAGTGACGAGTCCGATGAAGTTGCGTTGAATCCCGTCAGGGCTCTTAAAGAGTACATCAAGCAGTCAGCAGTCAGGAGACGTACCAGGAAACGCCTTTTTATTCCGTTTTCTTCTGCGTCCAAGGGTGAGGTCAGCAGAAATACCATCGCTTTGTGACTTTGCTCGACTATCCTCGCAGCTTACGACTCCGCTGGTTTGCCTCACCCAATCGCCAACAACCCGCCCACGAGATCCGGGCCTTAGCGTCTACCATGTCTCTGCACAGAAACTGCTCGGTCCCCACTATTATGGAAGGTTGCTTTTGGAGGTCTAACACAGTCTTCGCCAGCCATTATCTCTGGGATCGGGCAGTCCAGGATGTACAGGGGCTTCATAATCCTTTGGCAGGGGCTTCAGTCCTCAGCAACTGACGCGGCCCTCTTCTCACTAGGTGCTTATTCTTTTGTTTAATCATCTAAGTGATAGTTTTAAGGTTAACCCACGTTCTCTCGTGTTGTGTTTTCCTTATCAGGGGTTCTACCGGTGGTTTACTGTTCTTGTTTCAACGATTCCAGTTCAACAACAAGACAGTTTCCACGTCCCCGGTTGTGCTGTTTTGGTCTGATAGTTTTGGCTGGTCCTCGCCGGTGTCCGACCCTCCTGCCTTTCTGTCGGATCAACATGCACATTACCATGAGGTAAGGTAAGTTAAAAATTTATTAAAATCTAAATATTTTAGATATTTAAATAGTTACCTTACCTCATGGCATCTTACGCCCTCCCTACGATGGATCATCTCCTCCCCCCTCTGGACTCCAGGATTCGGATAAAGTGACATGTTCTCGTTGTCACATGACAGGATTGGGGGCGTGCTTCCACTTGCCGGACGAGATCGACACGTCACCAGTTTCATGATATCATTCAACAAGGATACTTATCGATAACGTTTCCAATCTTTGTATCGGATGAGCAAAGGTAATATGCAAATTACCATGAGGTAAGGTAAGTATTTAAATATCTAAAATATTTAGATTTTAATAATTCTCAATAATTTCTGGTTGTACTGTACATAGATTTGATGTAGAGGTGGCCATCTTGTCCACATGCCAGTGCAAAACTGAACCCCCAGTACTGCATAATACTGTGGACAACACGAAGTATTTATTTGGTTCCGTCAACTTTGATATAGCGGTGTTTGACTGTACTTTGAAAGAGTAATAATCTGGTATATGGTTGAGTTCCCTGATACGTGTTTCAGGGCAGGATTATCAAACCGAAGGATCTTCTGAAATCAGACTGGAGATTTCTTTGGAGTGCTCCACAGAGGGAGACTGTTCAGGATTTGAAGAGTGCGTCCATCGATGTTGCACACTTGTTGGAGAGTTGCTGTCGCAGGCTGTCTGTGATTCATGGCTTTGATGCTGATCAGCTCCAGAAGGAGCTGCAGGAGCTGGCGCAAGGTGAAGGTCATTCTGCTAAACCCGTCATGCATAGTCTGAGGCAGGCACTCAGTGGTTTGAAGGTAATTACATTTGAGAAGAGATTGGATGAATGTCTGTTTTTTTTATCACAATCATTAGTTGTTTTACTTTGATATGAGGCGTGGGTGGCCTAATGGGTAAAGCGCCTACTCGTCACCTGAAGACCCTGGTTCGATTCAAGACAAGGTGGCGAAAGTTACAATGATCGCCAACCTAGCTTTGGTTCCCCGATAGATTGAGTGGGAGTTGGAGTGGTTATGGGTGTGTATACAATTATATGTATGTAACATATGTTATATTTGGGATTACGCTTTCTTTGTAAAGTACAGATTCTAGTACCCTCAGAGTCAGGCACTTAATCGCCAGCACACAAAGTCAGACGCCTAGACTTACACAAAAATGGAAGTCGGACAACTGGTAGTCTAGACTCATGGCCTTTGTGTACCCCTCTGATAAGTGTTGATTGGCACGACTGCCACTTAATCGAAAAGCTATGAAATACACAATGCCATTTAGAAAGTGGTCAAATGTAACATGTGTTATATTTACGGATTGCACAATCTTTGTAAAGTACAGAAAAGTAAAGTACAGTAATTTATATGTATGCACATATACATGTACATACAAACATAGGTATGAATGTGTGCATGTGCATGTATGTAAGTGTGTGTGTGTGTGTGTGTGTGTGTATACATGTATGAAGGAGCATAGGTATGAATGTGCGTGCGTGGGTGGGTGGGCGTAAATATGTACGCATATTGGTACCTATGTATGTATTTACGAATGTACGTATGTATATGTATTTATATGTATGTCACCTATAAGGCGGCGGTCTGTAAATAATCGAGTCTGGACCAGACAATCCAGTGATCAACAGCATTAGCATTGATGTGCTCATTTGGGATATGATGACATGTGAACCAAGTCAGCGAAGCCTGACCACCAGATCCCCTGACCACCAGATTCCCTGACCACGCAGATCCCGCTAGTCGCCTCTTAAGACAAGCATGGGTTGCTGAAGACCAATTTTATGTGTGTGGGGGCTGCATGCGCATGCAGCGCTTGTAATTTGTACTTTAATGTACGTGATGTAATGCATGTATGCTGAAACAATGCCACTGTGGTGTTAAATATCAAATGACTCTGAAACAGAGATGATATTTGTGGTTGTTTGTTTCAGGAAGGGCCTCGTGTGGTGGACATGATGATGGCACTGGGGAGAGACCACACTGTACAGCTTACTGAAACACACACACTCCACATCCTCACTCATGACATGACAGCATGTCACCCAGGTAATATCTACAAGGCCACCACAACACACTGTTTCAGGCCAAGTGAATTCCCAACTGTTGCAATAATCGTAATATTCCAGCAATATCCCGGGCATGTAGGACACCAGAAATAGGCTTCGTCCATTGTATGCATGTAGGAAATGGAACTTGGTTCTTTGGTGTGAGGGACGGTGGGGTAGCATAGTGGTTAAAGCGTTCGTCTCGCACGAAGACCCCGGTTCAATCCCCACATGGGTACAATATGTAAAGCCCATTTCTGGTGTCCCCCGCCATGATATAGCTGGAATATTGCTAAAAGCGGCGTAAAACTAGACTCACTCACTCACTTTGGTGTGAAGAGAAAACAATTTAACCTCTAGGCTTCCCCACCACCCGCCGCTTTCAGGAACTTGCCTTGGTCATCATTGAGCTATATGTGTAATTTGATCCTGTGAATGCATAAAAGTATTATTTTTGCAGTTCAACTAGGATGAGTGAAAGACTCATATATATTGTACATTTGATGTTTAAAATATATATACTGAAATAAATCATTTGTGATCAAGTTTAATATATTTCTGTCTTTGAGAAAATAAATATTTGAACTTTTGAAACGTTTACTCAGAATAACAATATTGTAAATCTTACAGGGCAAATCTGATAGTATGGTATTATATACTATCACCATCGGCGATCCAGAGGGGTGGGGGAGCCTAAACCCCCACCCCCTTTTAAAATTACTGAAGATCACATTGAAGATGTTTTTATGGACCCCTGATCCCCCTCCTTTCAAAATTCGATCCGCCCCATGACCACCACAGTACATATACCAGAGATGACAGAACACTCTGGTTAGAAAGTCGATATCCAAATACTTAAACCACCATTTTTCTGTAAAGTATGAAATTACACACCGCTTTTATGAATGATTCATTGATGAGAAAAAAACTGATTGATCATGGGTATATGTACAGTACTTTTCTCCATCGTCCCTGGAGCCTCCATACATATTGACTCCAAAACATGCTGGAGCCTCGATACATATCCCCTCTTCCCTCAATACATGTTGGCCCCTCAACACATGTTGGTCCCTCAATACATGTTGGCCCCTCAACACATGTTGGAGTCTCAATACACCTTTGGCCTCCTCAATACACGTTGGCCTTTCAAATCACACATGTGGGAGCCTCAATACATGTTGGAGCCTCAATACACGCTAGCCCCTCAACACATGTCGGAGCCTCAATACACGCTGGCCTTTCAAAACATGTTGGAGTCTCAATACACGGCCTCCTCAAGACATGTTGGCCCCTAAACACACGTTGGCCCCTCAACACATGTTGGAGCCTCAATACACGCTTGGAGACTCAATACACCTTTGGCCCCTCAACACATGTTGGAGACTCAATACACCTTGGCCCCTCAACACATGTTGGCGCTTCAATACACGCTGGCCCCTCAATACATGTTGGAGCCTCAATACACGTTGGTCCCTCAACACATGTTGGAGCCTCAATACACGCTTGGCTTTTCAATACATGTTGGAGCCTCAATACATGTTGGCTTCTCAATACATGTTGGAGCCTCAAAACACGCTGCTATCCTCAACACATGTTGAGAGACTCAATACACGCTGGCCCCTCAATACATGTTGGAGACTCAACACACGCTGGCTCCTCAACAGATGTTGGAGAGTCAATACACCTTGGCCTCTCAATACACCTTGGCCCCTCAATACACGCTTGGCCCCTCAATACATGTTGGAGCCTCAATACACGCTGGTCCCTCAACACATGTTGGAGCCTCAATACACGCTGGCTTTTCAATACATGTTGGAGCCTCAAAACACGTTGGCTCCTCAACACATGTTGGAGCCTCAATACACCTTGGCCCCTCAACACATGTGGGAGACTCAATACACCTCAATTGGCCTCCTCAATACATATTGGAGACTCAAACACATGTGGGTTGGAGCCTCAATACACGTTAGCCCCTCAAAACACATGTCGGAGCCTCAATACATGTTGGAGCCTCAATATATGTTAGCCTCAACACATATTGAGACTCAATACATGTTGGTGCATCAACACATGTTGGTGCCTCCACAATATATGTTAGCCTCTCAAAACATGTTGGAAACTCAATACACGTTGGTCCCTCAAAACACATGTTGCAGCCACAATATATGTTAGCCTCTAAAAACATGTTGATATATGTTGTTAGCCTCTAAAAACATGTTGGCGCCTCAATACATGTTAGCCCATCAGTACATGCTGCCCTCTTCAATACATTCCCTACAATCAAGACGAGCTGGTAGTGTGAGATTGCTGCTGAAAAGTAGATGTGGATAAGTAATAAATACACACTAAGACGCCCTGCTGTGTTAGATTATACCCAAAGCCAACTTTACATCGACACTTCATATGCAAGCCACTGTTATTAACTAATTGTATATATACTCATGGAAACAAATAAGGGAACACCTGAAAGTTCAAATGTTCCTTTATTCTTTCCAGGTTCCTTCACAAGGTATGTATTGCACTGTGGGTGAAATTCTGGAAGTAAATAAAGGAACACTTATACTTTCATGTGTTCCCTTATTAGTTTCCATGAGTATAATTTCTTTTGCTCTTCTCATGTTATTTTCATTTCCCTACAAAATACAGAGACGCTATATATGTGTACAAGCATAATAGAAGCTTAATAGTGCACTAGTTTATTTTACAAGTCTTGGTCTTACATTGTACATTTCTTCAAATCATAAACGCTCTGATATAATCAATGTCACTAACAAATTTCATATTCATAATTTGATGTTGTAAAGCCGTGTTTATGCCCACGACATCAGGCTACCACATAATGTGTACAGTATGGCTGGACTGACTGTGTCACTAACAAATTTCACGCTCATAACTTGTTGTTTTAAAAGCCGTTTATACCCACCTACATCAAGATATACATAATGTGTACAGTATGGCTGGACTCAGTGTCCTCTACGCTAACAATGTGTACAGTATGGCTGGACTCGTGTCCTCTACGCTAACAATGTGTACAGTATGGCTGGACTCTAGTGTCGCCTACGCTAACAATGTGTACAGTATGGCTGGACTCGCGTCCCCTACGCTAACAATGTGTACAGTATGGCTGGACTCAGTGTCCCCTAATGCTAACAATGAGTACGGTGTGGCTGGACTCAGTGTCCCTCTACGCTAACAATGTGTACAGTATGGCTGGACCTCGTGTCCTCACGCTAACAATGTGTACAGTATGGCTGGACTCCGTCCCTCTACGCTAACAATGTGTACAGTATGGCTGGACTCAGTGTCCTCACGCTAACAATGTGTACAGTGTGGCTGGACTCCAGTGTCCCTCTACGCTAACAATGTGTACAGTATGGCTGGACTCCAGTGTCCTCTACGCTAACAATGTGTACAGTATGGCTGGACTCAGTGTCCTCTTACGCTAACAATGTGTACAGTATGGTTGGACTCAGTGTCCTCTACATTAACAATGTGTACAGTATGGCTAGTCTCAGTGTCCTCACGGTAACAATGTGTACAGTGTGGCTGGACTCAGTGTCCTCACGCTAACAATGTGTACAGTATGGCTGGACTCAGTGTCCTTTACGCTAACAATGTGTACAGTATGGCTAGACATCCCTGTGTCCTCTACGCTAACAATGTGTACAGTATGGCTGGACTCGGTGTCCTCTACGTTAACAATGTGTACAGTATGGCTGGACTCCGTGTCCTCTACGTTAACAATGTGTACAGTATGGCTGGACTCAGTGTCCTCTATGTTAACAATGTGTACAGTATGGCTGGACTCCGTGTCCTCTTACGCTAACAATGTGTACAGTATGGCTGGACTCCAGTGTCCCCACGCTAACAATGTGTACAGTATGGCTGGACTCAGTGTCCTCTACGCTAACAATGTGTACAGTATGGCTGGACTCAGTGTCCCTCTACGCTAACAATGTGTACAGTGTGGCTGGACTCAGTGTCCCTCTACGTTAACAATGTGTACAGTATGGCTAGACTCAGTGTCCCCACGGTAACAATGTGTACAGTGTGGCTGGACTCAGTGTCCCCTACGCTAACAATGTGTACAGTATGGCTGGACTCCGTGGTCCTCTACGCTTAACAATGTGTACAGTATGGCTGGACTCAGTGTCCCCTCGCTAACAATGTGTACAGTATGGCTAGACTCAGTGTCCCTCTACGGTAACAATGTGTACAGTGTGGCTGGACTCGCGGTCCTCTACGCTAACAATGTGTACAGTATGGCTGGACTCAGTGTCCTTTACGCTAACAATGTGTACAGTATGGCTAAACATCCCTGTGTCCTCTACGCTAACAATGTGTACAGTATGGCTGGACTCAGTGTCCTCGCTAACAATGTGTACAGTATGGCTAGACTCAGTGTCCCCAGTGTGGCTGGACTCAGTGTCCCCACGTTAACAATGTGTACAGTATGGCTGGACTCAGTGTCCTTTTACGTTAACAATGTGAACAGTATGGCTAGACATCCCTGTGTCCTCTACGCTAACAATGTGTACAGTATGGCTGGACTCAGTGTCCTCTATGTTAACAATGTGTACAGTATGGCTGGACATCCCTGTGTCCTCTAAGTTAACAGTGTGTTCAGTGTGGCTGGACTCAGTGTCCCCTACGCTAACAATGTGTACAGTATGGCTGGACTCAGTGTCCCTCTTAACGCTAACAATGTGTACAGTATGGCTGGACTCAGTGTCCTCTACGCTAACAATTTGTAGAAAGCTATTATAATGCAAACATTTCAAGTTCTGACAGCAACACATGAGGAGATTAGTAGTAATCAGGAGGAGCATCTTGCTTAGATAGGATATAGACTAGTGTCTCTCTGTCTGTCTGAAGTACCATCATCATAAAATAACCACAACATTCTTCTCTGCCATGTTTATGACGCTGTCGTCAACAACGCTTTGTGTTGATCTTCACCACCATGGCGGCCGGTGTCATAACATGGCATCATGACAGTGTCTTATAACTAGAGCTTTCTTCTCCCCGCCATGTCATGTTGATATCGTTTGTACATATCTCCGTGTGTTCCTACTCACCACCATGGTACGCCCGGTGTCATAACATGGCATCATGACAGTGTCTTATAACTAGAGCTTTCTTCTCCCCGTCATGTTGATATCGTTTGTACACAT